CAGCGGCGCGGTGCACTGGGGCCCACTCACTTGAGAAGGCCGAAGATGAAGGCGTTGAACCTCATGCTGTGGCTGGTCAGCTCGGCGAACTGGCTGATCCTGCTGTGGAGGCCGTGCAGCGCCTTGGTGGAGGGGCCTGGGAGACACGGGGACAGGCTGGGGATTAGCCGCAGAGCAGGGGCAGCCCAGGTCCCCTCGCACCCCAGGGCATGCACAGACCAACGGGCCTCCCTCACTCCCCTTCACACCAGGGCAGGGTGCGCCCCAAAGCGCCCGGGCCCTGTGAAATTCCCCCTCTGGCCAGCCCAGCCGCCTGCTCCGGGGCGTGGCTGCCATCAGCCCAGGCCCTGCCTGGCGGGGTGCAGAGCTAGGGGGGTTCCTGGCCCAGGGGCGAGCGACTGCCGCGTCGGAGCCAACCTCAGCCCGGGGCTGAGCCGAACGGTACCTAGCTGGGTGGACGCCTCCACCACGCTCCAGGGCGTGTTCTTCCGCTGGCCGATGATCACGTCCAGGACGTAGGCCTTGAGCCCGTCGCTCAGGATGTCTCGGATGGCCGGGCACAGGTATTTCAGGATGAGGTGCCCCACGTTGGGGCTCACCGAGCTGTTCCCAAGCTTGGCCTGGCAGAAAGCACGTGGGAGGGAGAGGGTTAGTCACTGCGCTGCCGGGTGCTCAGCCTCCTGCTGCGGGGAGTTCCAGGGGTGCGGGATGGAGGCTGTACACACAGGCTGGCCTGCCTGGGTCACTGTGTGACGCAAACAGCTCTGAGATGTGCAGCGCTGAGCCCCTGGCAGCTCCCCACAGCGAGTGGGCCATGCCTGGTCAGGCTGTCTCCCACCCAGCCCCTCGGGCCAGGGAAGGGCCGTTCCTCAGGCAAAGGCCAGTGCTGGGTACGGGCGACCCCTCTCTGGCATCAGGCCTCCAGCTAATCTGTGTAGGCCCCACAGGTGTATCCCATGGCCCCAAACACCTCCCCACCTCCTCCTCGGCCTGCTGTTCCGGGGGGACTGGAAAACCAGCCCAGCCCCTGCTCCTGGGAGAAACACCCGCTGCTGATGCTGCACCCAGGGGCCCAACGGCCGGGGTGGGGCCCAGGTCAGCCGGGGCCGGGGTGGAGCCCGGGTCAGCCAGGGTCGGGGTGGGGCCCGCGTCAGCCGGGGTCGGGGTGGGGCCCGCGTCAGCCAGGGTTGGGGTGCGGCCCGCGTCAGCCGGGGTCGGGGTGGGGCCCGCGTCAGCCGGGGTCGGGGTGGGGCCCATGTCAGCTGGGGTTGGGGTGGAGCCCGGGTCAGCCAGGGTTGGGGTGCGGCCCGGGTCAGCCGGGGCCGGGGTGCGGCCTGTGTCAGCCGGGGCCGGGGTGTTGGTGGAGCCACTTCCCCTTCCTAGAGCGAGGCTGGCGCACGCTCCTCCCCGGGATTCTAGGGATGGAAGAGGCCTACTTCCGCGGGTGTCTCGAAGGCGGTTCCTGTCGCGTTGCTCTGCCTGTGGCCCCCGGGCAGGCGGCAGGGCGCAGGGCATGGGGGATGAACGGAGTCTGAGCAGCCCGCATCACCCCACCAAGCCCCGCTGGCAGCCCGGAGCCGTGCACTACGGCAGCGCAGGTTGGCGAGGTGGCACAGTGCCCCTGCGGGTGCCGCCCAGCCGTGGGGCTGGGCAGACAGGAGCCGAACGGGCCTGGCCGCGCTGGAGTTTATTGTTCCTCTGTTGGCAGCAGGAAGCGCCATGTAAATCGCAAACACCGAAGCGTCAGGTGACCCGGGCGCTCCCAGCGGCTCAGAGAGGCTGAAGTCAGCCCCGCGGTCCAGCTCTCAGTCTGGGGCTGGCTCTAAATGGGCGGGTCAGGCGGGGGCACGGCACAGAGCCCAGCGCTGTAGGGCAGCTCTGTGCGGGGCTCAGTCATGGTGCCGGAGGGGCCGAGCCGGGGTCTCAGCCTCGGGTTCCTGCCATTGGCTAACAGGCTCCGGAGAGCAGAGGCCACGGGTTGAGCTGGAAGGGAAGAGATGCTCTGTGCTCTGGCCGGCTTGGCAAGGAGGCCAGTGCCCTGGGGTCGCCGAGAGTGGCCCTGGCGCTGAAATCCAGCTTCACGGGCTCTGCCCTTGGACGCTTCCCACAAGTGCAGGCCCCAGGAGGCAGCGACACCCTGGCCCGCCATCGGAGCCAGCCTGGAGCCTGCCCAGCATGGAGCCCATCGCAAACTCGCCCGGGCTTCCTTGAGCCTGCCGGCTTCTCCGTGACTCGAGCACGGGCCGCCAGGAGACAGCCGCCGGGGTGGGCTGAAGGGCGCAGTGCAAGCAGCCCAGCCCCATCTGCAGGACTAAGGAACGACCCAAAGTGGTTCCCGCCCGGGGCACGCGGAGCCCCGGACCCGCTGGAGGCTGCAGGACTGCGGGATCCCGACTGTCGGAGCGCGGCCGGGGCTGCGTGTTTGCACCTGGGCCCCCATCGCTGCAGACCAGCTCACTGAGCGGCTGTGACTGGCAGGCAGGGGGCTGCCCGTCTGCCTGGCCTCAGGGGAGAGGAGAGGAACCGGTTTCACCCCCTCTGTCCTGGCGGAGCAGGGGCGTGCGTCTGGAGAGCTGGGGTCAGGAATACTCCTGGGGGGAGGGCAGTTTTCCCACAGGCGAATGCTCAGCACCCAGCAATCGAAATACAGATCAAGCCCAGAGCCGGCTCAGTCCATCGCCGTGAGTGAGGGCAAACCCACGGCCAGATGGTGCCATTATCTCCCCAGAGGACAGGACAAAGCCAGGACAGCCGCAGCCCAAACAGGGAACGGTCTGGCCATGCCGCTAGGGCCCCAAACAGCCTTAACGCTGCCCCACATTGACGCCTGCACTGCCTGTGATTGATTGCCACCGGCCCCAAGAGCATCTGGGGACCTAGATTAGATTCAAACAATTTCTAAAGCTGCTGGCTTTTTCTCCTCCCGCTGCTGGTGTCACCACAGGGCAGGCAAGGCTGCCGGGGGCGTCACTCTGCATGCCCCGCCTCGGCTCTGCTTCTGACTGCGGCGCTGCCTCTGACCCCGCTGGGCTTGCAGGGCCTGGCGGGAAGGCACCAGGCGTGGGCAGAAGAGCACTGTCCTGTCACGGAAGGGACCGCAGGGAGGTGCAGCCTGCAAAGACCGGGCGAGACTCGGGAAGGCCAGTACCAGGGGCAGCCCGCGAGGTCATGGTGGGGACCAGGCGAGCGGCTGTGGCCAGCACAGTCACTCCACTCCCTGCTCCGCCGCCTCCCGCCAGCACATTCGTACCTGGGGCCAGCGGTGGGGAGCGGCTGGGGGGCACCGAGGAAGGTTTAACAAATTGCACATTTTGTACCGTTTTGGAAATATTACGATCCCCAAGGATGTGAGCTCCACGGTCAACAGCAGCACTGCCCCGCCCCCACCTACTGCCCAGCCCTAGGGCCTGGCCCGACTGCCCCGCTGGAAGGAGGTGGGGAGGGCCAGGATAGGCAGCCCGGTGCAGGTCAGTGGGGCAGGGCGGGTGGGCGCTGCTTTACCTTCACCCCCGGCTCCCGGCTCGTTCCGAAGTGAGCCACAATCAGATCCACGGCCGTGTTGATGGCCTTCACCAGCCCTAGAGGACAGAGACGGCGTCAGAGAGGGGGCTGGCGGGGGAGCCCCCTGCACATGCCCAGCCCAAGCGCTGTTTCGGGTGAAAGCGCATCCCCAGGACTCCAGCTGATGCCCCGTGTCTGGCGAGGAGCAGACTCAGCGCCCCTCACCCCCGTGCCCTGCGGCTGCCTGGCGAATGGGCACAGGTTATTACACAGGTGGGGAAGGTTCACCCGGCGCAGTTGCAGGGCACCAGCGCTAGCTGTTGGCTCCTGGCGTGCCGAGCTGCTGCTGGAGCCGAGGGCTGTGCCCAGGAAGGGGCACTGCCCCTGGGGGCCATGCTGGGGGCTGGGGGCCGTGCCAGGCTCTGTCCCTGGGGCAGGGCTCGATTTAGACGCTGTGATGTCACTACGAGGCGCAGGAACTACCCCGCGGTTGTGGATCCGTTAGCGCTGGGGAGCAGGGAACAGGACATGGGGTGGCCCCATCGGGGACCTAGCTAGGGTGACCTTTGCGTGGCCAGTGGGGCAGAGGTAGGGCGGGGGGCTCAGGGCCCGGAGGCGGTTTCAAAGCACTGACTCTTTGCTCGGGGTTGGCTGTGCCATGCGGCAGCGCTGACTCCCCCTGCGCTGCGCTTTCCGACCCCGGCTGGGGAGGCAGGACCCACCCTACCTTTCTTCTGCAGCAGGTCGATGGAGATGGACTCCGTGTTGCCATCCGGGGAGAGGCAGAACTCGGCCGGCGGCTTCTCCGCCAGCGAGAAGTACTCCGGGAAGAAGTCGGCGTAGCCCAGCTGGAGCGGTTTCACAGGCTGGCCTGCAGGGCCCGGAGACAGGAAGCGCAGTCAGACAGACGCCCGCACGCTAAGGCAGCCCCCGGCCTGGCTGGGAATGCACCGACTGGCTCCAAAGGTACCTGCCAGGCAGCCAGGCCTGGCCCAGGGGCAATGCAGCATGGCTACTGGCTTGGCACTCGCCTCATCGGGCCCCCAGTCGGACAGTGACTTGATGGGCCTCCTGTCCCATGTCCGTCACCCCCTCGGCTCACACAGCACACAAACACCGGCCAGGCCCGGGCTGCAGCGGCCACAGACCCGTGGGATGCTGAACCTGGCCTCTCTGCTCACAGGCTGGGGGGTGTCAGGCCCCAGGCCAGACTTCCAGGGCCGCCCTGCATCCTAGCCCCTGGCCTGGAGGACGTGAGCTCACCGCCCGACAGAGCCACACACAGAATAACGCCCCCGCCGGGCCCTGCAGCTGCTCCGGACCGTGGCTAGTGGCACATGCCACTCCCACCCCCTCGCGTCTCCAAGGGGAAAATGATGCCATGGCTCGTTAGTGCATTTCTCCCCTGCCCTTTCCTGGCCGTGGTGCGGGTATGTTTGTCAAGCAGGCCGGGGGCCCCAAGGAAGCTCTGCCCCAGCCCAGACGGTGCCCCTGGGGACGCTGGGCGGGGGAGTCGTTCTGCTTTGGCCAGACACGCCTGGGCACAGGGCAGCCTGCCTCTCCCTTCCCCCTCGCACGGTGTTTGGGGGGCTGGCGGCACGGAGCGGCAGTGACTGATGCACACTCTGTCGCGCGGGGCAGCCCAACACCAGCTGCTCCTTCCCAGCAGTGCCCCGGGAAGCTGGAGCTCCCCGCAGACAGTGCCCCGCCGGGAGCTGCGCAGACGGACAGTGGGACGCAGGGCCCGTCAGCTCCAAGGGCCGTGGGAAAATGGAGGTGGCTGCCACAGGCTCCTTTTTGGTCAGGGGCTCCTGGCTGGTTCTGATGTGGTACCGAGGCGCCTGCCCTGGGACCATCTCTGCCTGGCCAGAGCTGGGGATGTGTGCTCAGAGCCGCTCCCTGCCTGCTGTGCAGAGTGGGGATGAGCTCACACCTCCCCTTCCCCACACGATCACAGGTGTGTTCCTCACACACACCCCGGGACAGGGACCGTGGCCAGAGCCAGCAGGCCCCGCGGAGGCCAGGGCCCATCTAACCTGGCCTGGCCCAGTGGGGCAGAAGCCGGGGGAGCGTCTCCCATGCTGCCCCCCACCAGCGAGGTAGAGGCGCACCATTCAGCCTGCCATGAACGTGGCCGGTGTTGAGGGAACCAGGGAACTCAAAGATGGGGTTCCTCCGGGCGAGCTGGGGCTCCTGCTGCCTCCTGTCCAGGCTGCCTGCTAACCCAGCCAGCCCCGAGCCGCGGTCCAGGCCCAGGGGGTTCCTCCGCCTGTACTCCCGCCACTTCAGTGCTTGAGGGGAGAGGTGGTTTGCTAGCGGTGGAGGGTGACGGGGACCAGTGTGGGGTGGAGAGGGAGAGAGAGACAGGGAAAAGGACAGAGACAGACACAGCACATTAGTTACAGTCCAGCTTCAGAGATGTTAGTGGGTTTGTGTGAGGGGGGAACAGGAGCCAGGGCTGAGCAGTAAGGACAGGACAGGCCGTTGCTGAGAAATCTCCCGGCTGGGGGCAGCGGGCGCCCACAGACTGCAGCGCTGCCGGCCCGCCCAGGCGCCGGGGGCTCAGAGCCGGAGGGGGGCTGGGGGGTCGCTCAGGGCCGGGCTGTAGCAATGGGGCAGCTCTGGCAGGGCCTGGGCGCTCAGCGCAAGGCACCGAGGGGCTGGCCGGGGCTGACCCACAGTCAGTGCCCTGCAGCAGGGACGTACCATTGAGGGGCCGTGTGCCCACACTGCTCAGTGACCCCGAACTTCCGGCCTCACTGCTGCCTCTCCACTGGGGCTCCGCAGGGCCCCCCGCTCGGCTCGCACTCGCCCCCTCGGATGCCAGAGGTGGGAGGGAGCGGTCATGGAGTCGGTACTCGGAGCCCTGCGCCCTCTGCTCCAACGGCGCCTCCTTCCTGGGGACTGGCCGGGGGCTCTCCTGGCGGTGCAGGGCATCAGCCTGGGCGGGCAGCGCGGCGCCTGCAGAGGGGGAGGCCCTGGTGGGGAGCAGGTTGGCAGAGAGCGGGCAGGACCTGCTGCGGGGAGGGTGGCTCTCGCCGGCTCTCTCCGGGGTGGGCGAGCAGGACGAGTCCAAGCTCTGGAAGAAAGGGGCAGTGCTGCGCACCGGGGAGTAGCTCCCGAGGGGAGACGGCCGGGTGCTCTCCGGGGCCGGCTTCTTGGCGTAGCCGTCGCCGAGGGAGGCGGCTCCGTCCGCCGAGCGCTGGGCCAGGAGCGCGCCATGCGCCAGGCCCCCCGCGGCCCCGGGCTGCTCCGCCGAGGTGGCGGAGGCGGAGGACTGGGAGTTGGAGGAGGGCTGCTGGCTGGCGGGCCGGCTGCTGGAGGCGCTGTAGAGCTGCGAGAGGCTGGCAGCGAAGTGGCTGTGCAGGGCCCGGGCCTTGGGCTGCTTGCTGAAGTGGTGCTGGAAGACGAAGGGCTGGATGGGCAGGGTGGTGGGGCGCTGCTCCTTGCTGTACCGCACCACGGCCTTGCTGTCCTCGCCGCCGCCTGCGGGAGAGACGGGGAGCGTGAGGGGGAGCCCAGCCCAGCCGGCACCGGACCGGGGAAGGGCAGGAGCCGCGGGCTGGAGCCACAGGCAGCCTCCTCGCTGACATTCGCTGCTGTGTAGGGCCCCCGGGCTGCGGGGAGACAGTGGTCAATGGGGGCCAGGGGACCTACTCCCTCAGCAGTTGCTGCACCATTCCCAGCCCTGCCCTGTGCCCCCACCAGCCCGCGGGGCTCCCACTCGCTCGCCTCCTTCCCTGCAAGCCCCCAACCACCCCACTTCCACTCTGCCTGGGGCCCAGAATAACCTCACCCCAAGCTCCTGCAAGTCCCCCAGCGGGACACCACAACCCCCTCCTCCGCTCCACGCAGTGCTCAGGATCTAGCAGTCACCCCCACCCCCCCACCCGCCTGCTCCTGTCCCCTCCGCCACCTTCGGTGCCCTCAGCCTGGGAGCCCTCAGCCCGCTCCCAGCACGCCACTGTTGGGGGAGATGCTGGCGGGGCAGGAGAGCTCCGGGGAGGGAGGGGGGAGCCCCTGGCAGAGACAGAGACAGGTGCAATTGCTAAGACACAACCCAGACTGAGGGAAAATATAGGGCAGGGGCCTGACCGTGGAAGGCCAGGACTTTGCCAGTGAAGGGCAGGGAGGCCCCAGAACACGGGCAGCTCCCCGCCTCCCCGCACGGTGCCCGGCGGCAGCTGCGGGGGGGGGGGGGGGGGGGGGGGGGGGGGAGAAGGAGAAGGAAGGTTGCCTCCTCTTGGGGGCACCTCTAGAGAGCCACCTGAGGGAAGAGCATCTTCGCAGGCAGGCTGCTAACCTAGTGAGGAGGGCTTGAGGATTTAACCTCCCCTCAAAGAAAGGAACTGCTGATGCTGTTAAAACACCACAAGCGAACATTCTCCCACAGGCCAGGGCTCACAGATAGGATGACACACTCCATTCAGACGCTGGGTCCCCGCCCAGCCCCTAGCAGAGCTTACAGGGCCAAGGGAGAGATGCAAAGACAGATCCAGGAAGAGGTGGAAAGCATGTTGACAATGGGAATAATCACCAGATCCCAGAGCCCCTGGGCCTCTCCCATTGTGATGGTACCAAAAAAGGACAAGACCATGAGGTTTTGTGTGGATTACAGGAAGCTAAATGCTATCACCCAGCCTGACCCTTACCCCACACCCAGAATAGAGGATCTACTGGATACACTGGGAGGGGCAAGGTTTATAAGCACCCTGGACCTGACTAAGGGGTACTGGCAAATACCCCTAGATGCCGAGGCACAAGAAAAATCCGCTTTCATAGTGGAATCGGGCCTATATGAGTTCAAAGTGCTGCCCTTTGGGATGCGAAATTTAGGGGCTACGTTCATGAGTCCTACGGGGATTAGAATCTTTTGCGAGGGCCTATATAGACGACCTGGCCGTATTCAGCAGTTCGTGGCAAGATCACCTGAACCACATAGGGATTGTGCTGCACCGGCTCAGGGAGGCCAATCTAACGGTTAAGGTTTCTAAATGCAGAATGGGAGCTGCTGAGGTGACCTACCTAGGGCACAGGGTGGGCAACGGGCAACTGCGCCCAGAGCCTTTAAAGGTAGAGGCCATTAAAAACTGGCCAACCCCTAGAACTAAAAAGCAGGTCCAATCCTTCATTGGTCTGGCCAACTATTACAGGAGGTTTGTACAGGGATTCAGCGACATTGTTGCTCCCATCACAGACCTGACGAAGAAGGAAAAACCAGACCGGGTGCTGTGGACGGAGGCCTGTGAGTAGGGTTTTCAAAGCATAAAGGGCGCTTTGGCCAAAGAGCCTGTTTTGGCCAGCCCAGATTTTGAAAAGCCTTTTTTACTATGTACAGACGCTTCCAATATTGGGCTGGGGGCAGTGCTAATGCAGGAGGGGGAAGGAGGTAAGAGACATCCCGTGGCATATCTAAGTAAGAAATTGTCCCCCACTGAGCAAAATTACGCTACCATTGAAAAGGAATGTTATGCCATTGTCTGGGCTGTCAAGCAACTTAAGCCCTATTTGTACAATAAAAAATTCACTGTGTTGAGTGATCATGCCCCTCTGGTCTGGCTGCACAAGGCCAAGGGCAACAACTCCAGGTTGCTGCGTTGGAGTTTAGCCCTTCAGGAGTATGAAATGGATATAGTCCACATAAGGAGAAAGGAAAATATTGTAGCTGATGCATTGTCCAGAGTGGAGAGCTCTTAGGATGCAGTCAGTGATGTTTGTGACATCCCTTCCTGCATCAATTTTGCGTTGGGGGTGTGACGTTATTGATATAATCTGGGACCATATAGATCATTGGTGCAACCAAGGTCCTGTAGTGGCACCCAGATCTTGTATAAAGGGGGTCAAATGGGGTGTCTAAGACAAGGTTATGGTTTACTGATTATAATTATGCTGTCTATATGTGTGTATCAATTTTGTAGTTGAAGTTAGGAATATTGGCTCTATACTGTCTGTATTTCAAACTTATGCTATGGTGCTGGGGGACATCCCAGACAAACTGGTGTTAGCTCTGCCTAGCCTGCTTGATGGCCCATTAAGGACCATCAGCTATACAATGGACCCATTGAGAGAAGGCAGATACGCCTTGTAACTCAGCAAAGTATGCAGGGACTGGCCCATGTGACTCCAGACTCCATGTTGCTGTAATTTTCCACAGTAAGAACAAAGAGGTGTTCTTACACGTGGAAAAGACTATATAAGGCTGATGCCTCATCTCCATCTTGTCTTCAATCCTGCTTCATACCTCTGGAGGAACTTTGCTACAAGCTGAAGCTTTGAACAAAGGACTGAGGACCCATCCCAGCGGGGGATGTATTCCAGAGACTTGATTTGAACCTGCAGTTTATTCTATCGCTGCTGCAAGCCTGAACCAAGAACTTTGCCATTACTGTATGTAATCGATTCCATTTAACCAATTCTAACTCTCATCTCTATCCTTTTCCTTTTATGAATAAACCTTTAGATTTTAGATTCTAAAGGATTGGCAACAGCGTGATTTGTGGGTAAGATCTGAGTTCTATATTGACCTGGGTCTGGGGCTTGGTCCTTTGGGATCAGGAGAACCTTTTTCTTTTCCTGGGGTATTGGTTTTCACAACCATTTGTCCCCATAACGAGTGGTACTGGTGGTGATACTGGGAAACTGGAGTGTCTAGGAGATTGCTTGTGAGACTTGCGGTTAGCCAGTGGGGTGAGACCGAAGTCCTCTTAGTCTAGCTGGTTTGGTTTGCCTTAGAGGTGGAAAAACCCCCAGCCTTGGGCTGTAACTGCCCTGTTTGAGCGATTTGTCCTGAGTTGGCACTCTCCGTTGGGTTCCGCCAGAACTGCATTGTCACACTAGGTTCGCTGAGGGATGGAGACCTAAGCCCAGAAGTAAATGGGGAACTGGGATACTGGGAGGAAACACAAGGAGTTTGGTGCAACAGGGAAGGCCTCCTGAGTCACACTGAGAAAGTAGGGCAATCGGCTAGTTACCTTAGGGGGTGTGACGTCACACCCCCTGTACACCAACGCAAGAAGTCTGGGAAACAAGCAGGGAGAACTGGAAGTCCTGGCACAGTCAAGGAATTATGAAGTGATTGGAATAACAGAGACTTGGTGGGGTAACTCACATGCCTGGAGCACTGTCATGGATGGATATAAACTGTTCAGGAAGGACAGGCAGGGCAGAAAAGGTGGGGGAGTTGCACTGTATGTAAGGGAGCAGTATGACTGCTCAGAGCTCCGGTATGAAACTGGAGAAAAGATTGTTGAGAGTCTTTGAGTTTAGTTTAGAGGTGAGAGCAACAAGGGCAATGTTGTGATGAGCGTCTGCTATAGACCACCCGACCAGGAGGATGAGGTAGACGAGGCTTTCTTCAGGCAACTAGCAGAAGTTACTAGATCGCAGGCCCTGGTTCTCATGGGGACTTCAATCACCCTGACATCTGCTGGGAGAGCAATACAGCAGTGCACAGACAATCCAGGAAGTTTTTGGAGAGTGTTGGGGACAACTTCCTGGTACAAATGCTGGAGGAACCAACTAGGGGCTATGCTCCTCTTGACCTGCTGCTCACAAACAGGGAAGAATTGCTAGGGGAAGTAGAAGTGGGTGGCAACCTGGGCAGCAGTGACCATGAGATGGTCGAGTTCAGGATCCTGACACAAGGAAGAAAGGAGAGCAACAGAATACAGACCCTGGACTTCAGAAAAGCAGACTTTGACTCCCTCAGGGAACTGATGGGCAGGATCCCCTGGGAGGCGAATAGGAGGGGGAAAGGAGTCCAGGAGAGCTGGCTGTATTTTAAAGAAGCCTTATTGAGGGCGCAGGAACAAACCATCCCGATGTGCAGAAAGAATAGCAAATATGGCAGGTGACCAGCTTGGCTTAACAGTGGAATCTTCGGTGAGCTTAAACTCAAAAAGGAAGCTTACAAGAAGTGGAAACTTGGACAGATGACTAGGGAGGAGTATAAAAATATTGCTCGAGCATGCAGGGGTGTAATCAGGAAGGCCAAAACACAACTGGAGTTGCAGCTAGCAAGGGATGTGAAGGGTAACAAGAAGGGTTTCTACAGGTATGTTAGCAACAAGAAAAAGGTCAGGGAAAGTGTGGGACCCTTAATGAATGGGGGAGGCAACCTAGTGACAGATGATGTGGAAAAAGCTGACGTATTCAATGCTTTTTTTGCCTCGGTCATCTCAGGCAAGGTCAGCTCCCAGACTGCTGCACTGGGCAGCACAGTATGGGGAGGAGGTGAGAAGCCCCCAGTGGTGAAAGAATAGGTTAAGGACTATTTAGAAAAGCTGGACGTGCAGAAGTCCATGGGTCCAGATCTAATGCATCCGAGGGTGCTGAGGGAAATGGCTGATGTGATTGCAGAGCCATTGGCCATTATCTTTGAAAACTCGTGGTGATCGTGGGAGGTCCCGGATGACTGGAAAAAGGCAAATATAGTGCCCATCTTTTAAAAGGGGAAGATGAAGAACCCGGGGAAGTACAGACCGGTCAGCCTCACCTCAGTCCCTGGAAAAATCATGGAGCAGGTCCTCAAGGAATCCATTTTGAAGCACTTGGAGGAGAGGAAGGTGATCAGGAACAGTCGACATGGATTCACCAAGGGCAAGTCATGCCTGACCAACCTGATTGCCTTCTATGATGAGATAACTGGCTCTGTGGATATGGGGAAAGTGGTGGACATGATATATCTTGACTTTAGCAAAGCTTTTGACATGGTCTCCCACAGTATTCTTGCCAGCAAGTTAATAAAGTATGGATTACATGAATGGACTATAAGGTAGATAGAAAGCTGGCTAGATCATCAGGCTCAACGGGTAGTGATCAACGGTTCGATATCTAGTTGGCAGCTGGTATCAAGCGGAGTGCCCCAGGGGGTCAGTCCTGGGGCCAGTTTTGTTCAACATCTTTATTAATGATCTGGATGATGGGATGAATTGCACCCTCAGCAAGTTTGCAGATGACACTAAGCTGGGGGGAGTGGTAGATGTGCTGGAGTGTAGTGATAGGATCCAGAATGACCTAGACAAATTGGAGGATTGGGCCAAAAGAAATCTGATGAGGTTCAACAAGGACAAGTGCGGAGTCCTGCACTTAGGACGGAAGAATCCCATGCACTGCTACAGACTAGGGACCGAATGGCTAAGCAGCAGTTCTGCAGAAAAGGATCTGGGGATTACAGTGGATGAGAAGCTGGCTACGAGTCGACAGTGTGCCCTTGTTGCCAAGAAGGCTAATGGCATATTGGGCTGCATTAATAGGAGCATTGCCAGCAGATTGAGGGAAGTGATTATTCCCCTGTATTTGGCACTGGTGAGGCCACATCTGGAGTCCAGTTTTGGGCCCCTCACTACAGAAAGGATGTGGACAAATTGGAGAGAGTCCAGCAGAGGGTAACAAAAATGATTAGGGGTCTGGAGCACATGACTTATGAGGAGAGGCTGAGGGAACTGGGATTGTTTAGTCTACAGAAGAGAAGAGTGAGGGGGGATTTGATAGCTGCTTTCAACTACCTGAAGGGGGGTTCCAAAGAGGATGGATCTAGACTGTTCTCAGTGGTGGCAGATGACAGAACAAGGAGTAATGGTCTCAAGTTGCAGTGGGGGAGGTCTAGGTTGGATATTAGGAAACACTATTTCACTAGGAGGGTGGTGAAGCACTGGAATGGGTTCCCTAGGGAGGTGGTGGAATCTCCATCCTTAGAGGTTTTTAAGGTCAGGCTTGACAAAGCTCTGGCTGGGATGATTTAGTTGGGGATTGGTCCTGCTTTGAGCAGGGGGTTGGACTAGATGACCTCCTGAGGTCCCTTCCAACCCTGAGATTCTATGATTCTAAGTGCGAGCGAGCCCTGGCCGTGGTCGTTCCCAGCACCACCAGGCCAGGGCTCTGCACAGCCTCCCCTGCTCTCTGGCTGCTGCCACTGGTAGGGTTGCCAACTCAGACTGAAACTATTCCGGGAGATTTTCTTCCCCAACAGGACATAATGTCATTGTCTTAAAATAGCCTATTAAAATCTCCAATTGCTTTCAATAGTCACCGGGAGATCAATGCCGATTCCAGGAGACTCAGGCCAATCCTGGAGGGTTGACAACCCTAGGTACTGGACCAGGCTTATGGGGCAGGGCTCCCCTGCCAGAGCTGTGTATAACCTGGCACTCCCCAAGCACGACATGGGTGCAATGGGACGGTGGGATTGTGTGGCCCAGAGGGGCCCAGCTGCAAAGGCCCAGGAAGAGCCCCTTCGTGTTGGGCCCCTGGTGCTTGTGGGGAGCCTCAGGCCTTCACCCCCAGGGTGATTTGAACAGGGCTTTTAGTCCAGTTCATTGTGAGGTCTGGGCGCGGCAGCAGCTTTCCATGCACTAGTGCACAGAATGAACAAGCCCAGCTCCCACCGCGCCGTCCCGCTGGGGCCAGGACCCAGAGCACTCCCCCGTTGTCCAGGCCCCTGTGTAAGCAGGGGCTGAATGAATGCTTCCCTGACAGCGAGCGGGGAGGGGGGGAGACTTGGGTGTGTTTATGTAAATACAGTTTGCTCCTGCTCTGCTTACATATTCAGCAAAAAGTGATCAACTTTGGCTGGTGTTGGGTACAAATCACCTTAGTACTGAACGCCGGGGTAGTGAAATATGGTTCCCAACGTTGTAATTATTGTAGGAATACAGGAAAGTGGGACTGTGCTTAACCTGTCCCAAATGACTGTGCTTAACCTGTCACCCTCAGTTGAAACAACCTTATTAAGTCAGGGGCTTGAATGTCAGCGCCTTGGGAAAATAAGAGGGGTGGGGGTAGGAATCTCTGGGCAGGAGTTTACACCCACTCAGGGGTCCTTCCTGGTCTGGTTTAACCTGTTCCCTCCACTGTTCAAAGAAAGCCTGTACAGTGCTGACAATCACTAAGAGACGGATGTGCTGTGACAGTCGGCTAGTGACCGAGTGGCTGGGAGGTGCCACAAGAGGGCGGCTGGTGGAGAGGAGCGGTGAGTGCCCGAGCAGCGGAGCGAGTAAGGTGCCTCCTTACCCCACTCCCCAGGGGGAGGTGAACTCTGCAGCTGCACCCCTGAACTCTGGGTCTGCACTGACCGGACAGTGACTGTGAGTGGGGTGCAGAGAGGGGCCAGGCTGGGATGTGACAGGGACTTTTGGGTTGCTGGAGTTAAGACCCTGAGGGGAAAAGGGCACTGCCCGACAGACTTGGGGTGGGTCTTTTGCTCATGGTTTAGGTTTATGAACCCTGGGTGTGGTGCTTTCCCTAATTAACACTGTGACGCGAGCGGGGGGGGGGGGGGGGTGTGCTGGGGGGGTTGGAGGGGGGGGGGGTGGGGGGGGGGGGGGGGCGCCTGGCGGGGAGGGGGAGAGGGGAGGGGAGCAGCAGAGGGGAGGGGGGAGAGAGCTGCTGGAGGGTTTTTAGTTTTCAGTTTGGGGCTGGGTGGTGCAACGCAGGGAACCCCCAGGCTGGGGTCTAAGCTCCCTGCCCCCCAGAAGGTCTTGATTGAGGGGTTCTGGTTGTACCTACAAGCTCTGTTGTAGCCTGCGTTCCCACTGTCCAATAAACCTTCCGTTTTACTGGCTGGCTGAGAGTCACGGTGAATCGCAGGAAGAGGGGTGCAGGGCCCTGACTCCCCCACACTCCGTGACACCAGCTCTGGCCTGGGGGTAGGGGCGTTACATGTCCTCGCACGGCAGCGCTTTTCCTCGGCGGATTCAAATGATGGCACAGCCCTAAATCACCCCTCCCCAGAGCCTGTCTCTGCTGCTCCCTCGGGGGGTCAAAGGGGAGCATTTGCTGGTCTATTTTAATCTCGTATTTGGTTCCTTACCATCCGCTCTGGCTCTAACATCTCGTTGTCCGTGCCCACTGGCAGGGCTGCCTGAGAAGCTGGCACCAGCCTCCATCAGCAGAGAGAGAGAGGCCTGCTCGGCTGCCCCATGGCCGTTGGCACCTGAGTCTTTGCTGGAACACGCCCTCGGGCCATCCCCGAATCTGTGCTCCACACGGTAGCCCTCGCAGCTCCGGTTCAGGCAATGGCCAAACGGCATGGGCGGGAGACTCTGGCAGCGTCGAGCGCCGTCCTCGAGAAGCCCTGGGCAGTCCCGCTGGAACTCGGGGATGGGCGAGAACTCCAAGGAGGAGTCACCGCTGGTTCTGAGCGGCGGGGAGGAGCCGTTCTTTCTCCTGCCTTTCGCCAGCTCAGCAAAGGAAGTCACCCGCTTCGGGGGCGAGCTCTGGATCGCCAGCGCTGGGCTCTCGCTCAGCTTGACCGGACAACTCATCATGCGCTCCAGGGAGCCCAGCCGGCTCGTGGGGCTCCGGTCCAGGTTCCGATCGTAGCTCCTGGAGCGCGGCCGGCCGGCGTTCAGGTTAGGCGGGGATATGTTGACATACACTTGCCCCTCAATCGTGTTTTTCACAGCTTCGCCCTTGGTCTCCGCCATGAAGCATTCCCCATCGCTCTCCTCCGGCTGAGCATCGGGCCTTCGAAACAAGTAGTACTCCGAGGGCTGGACAGGGCTCCCTTTGGTGTGATCTTCAGAGCAGCTGGTTATGGAAGAGCCCGCAGGGCTAGGCGACGACTGGGAAGACAAGTCACAGGTGACTAATTTATAGTAGTTCTGGGTGGCCACCACGAGCCGGGCTTGGCTCTGGAAGCAAGCGGTGAGGTCGGAGCTCTCCGAAGTGCACGGCTCGCAGTGCAGGTGGTAGGAGTTGCAGTTGGCATCTAAGACGGGCGAAGACGGGTGGTGGCACCCACACACTTTCCCCGAGCTCTCCGGGTTGTGCGATTCACAAGACATCTTGGATTCCGTGGGTGACGAATGCAGATCCAGGTAAAAGGCCCCGGTGTCCGAGTGGCTGCAGAAGGAAGAGTCACAGGACAAGTTGGCAGAGTTCAAGTTGGAGCGAGAATGGCCGTTCATTTTGTTGTAGAGGGCACTGAAGTTCACCAGGACCCCGTCCGAGCTGTTACAAGAAGAGTCGCTGATGTATCCCATCTGCTGGTCCCCGGTCTCAGACTGGCTTGACGTGCTGTAGCACCGGCAGTGCGGGAGCTCCGTGCTGGAGCAGCTGCAGGTCCGGCTGTGCAGGGCGCCCGGGTTCCTCCCTGACTCGTCAGAGCTATTGTTCCAGTCCTGGTCGCCGCCCTCGAAGGAGAAGCTCCCGCGCTGGCAGCTGCACTCGTCCAGCTCCATGCACTCCGAGGCCAGCGGGCAGCAGTCAACGTCGTTCCGCTTCTGGACGTCGGCGCTTGTGAGTTTGTCCTCTTGCCCGTCCACCACGCCGGACCTGCTGGCCATGCTCCAGGGCTTCACCACGTGGCCGGCGTCGTGGAGGTGGAAGGGCGGCAGCTCGTGCAGCTGGAAGGCCGGCTTGCCGGCCACCATGGAGCTGTGCAGGTGGAAGGACTTCTGGCCCGTGTTGTCGCTGAGGAGACCATGCCCCTCGCTGTCGCCCAGGAGGAAGGGATTGTGCCGTGTCGGGACGCCGGGGATGACCGAGTCTCGCGCTTTGCTCTCTTTGTCCCCTGCAGCCTCTGGCGGCGCGTCCGAGGCCTGCAGCAAGTTGCTGTACACCAGGGAGTCTGTCTGCGAGAGGTCCCGCTCCGGCAGAGAGGCGGTCCGCGCGATGCCCGGGTCTGGCTGGCAGAACGGATTGGTCCTCTTGCTCCCACTGCAGCACTGTCGGTCGGGGACCTGGCAATGAACCAGGGGAATGTGATGGACAATCAGCGTTTCTCCTGCCAGCTTGGGTGGACTATCCATTCTTGAGTGCTCGTCAGGAACTCAGCCAGGCTGGCGCTACCCATGGAAGGGAGGTGGGCTGCGGGCGGGGCTGGGAGAACACATCTCAGGAGGGGAGCCAGAGACCTGAAGGGAGGCAGAAAACAAAGGGAGTCAGGAGCAATCGGTTAGGCCATTCCAGGCTCATCTGCACAGCCTAGGTTCTCCCTCGCACCAGCGCTGAGTCGTCACCGCCTGCTTAGCAACAGTGACCCAGAGCGTAGGGCAAAGCTCACCGGCTTCCCGTGTGCCAGGGCATCTGTGCTGCCCCCTCCCGATGTACACGTGGCCCAGGTACCGTGCAGCCCTTGGGCCAAACACGGCCCGGGCAGTCCTGGGAGGCTGCCCGTCTTCAATACCGAGCGCACCCGTCCCACAATGCAATTCTCCATTTATTCGCCTTTCCGGGAGCCCCTCCCCCTGCCTCTCGGCACCGGGGACGTCACCCCAACCCTGACAAAGCTGCCAGGCCTCCCCATGGAGCAGGCAGATGGACGGCCAGGTAGCCCTCCGAACAAGGCCTCCCCTCCCCCTGCCCAAAGCTCGGGTGAAAGGAAGCGAGCCCTGATCCCAGCGAATTCCAGCGCTGGTGCTGGGCAGAGCTCGGGAGCCGAGGGCTCCTCACGGACCCAGGCCCCTTCAGGGAGCGCAGCTGGAGCCGCGAGGCATGCGGAGGGGCAGGTCTCAGCCCGCGTGCCCTGAGCCGGTCCCACAGTTGAAGGCTTTACAGGGGCAAAGCCAGCACCTTACACCCTTGGGCCGGGCGGGCTGAATTACCCCGCTCCGTTTTCTGCACATCAGCAGCCCAAACTCCCGGGTTTCGATCATGTCTCTGCACGTCCCATCAGCACTGCTGTTCCACCCGCCTAGGGCACTGCCGGGACCATGCCTGGGCCTCCGCTGGCCGACAAGCAGAGCTCCTGGAGCGCTCCTACGCGCTCGCTCGGGGCTGCACTTTCCCGCGGCGCTCGGCATGGGGCAGCTGGCTGGCCAGCAGGGAGAACGGGGCGGATGTTGTTCTTTCTCTGCCGTTCATGTCTGGAACGTGCCCAAGCCAGAGCAGAGAGCGGTGTGGGAGGGCACGGGAAGGGGACAGGCCACCAACCGGAGATGAGCCAACTTTGATCAAAGCAAAACAAACCCACCGGCCTTAGTCTGCAACTGGGGAACTGAGTGTTAGCGCTTCTGGCGGGCCGGGGGGTGGGATTTCATCACGTCCACAGTCAGCGCCGAGCATTCCTCCTGTGATTGCACAGGGCCTGGCAATCCCCCCACCCTCGCTGCGCCACCCAGCCTGCCCCTCGCCGGGACCCCATCGCGGGCACACTGCCTTCTCCACCCTGCCACCCCCACACGCCGAGCAGCCTCCGCAGCATCTATGCCTCCCTCTGGCTCCCAACTGCCCGGCTTCTCCTCTCCTGCTCACTGCAGCCTCGGAAAGGGTACGCAGGACGGCGGGGTGCAGATGTGGGGAGATGAGACCCAGGGCCCAGCAAAACTCCCCTCTGGAGCAAGACTGAAAGCATGGGGAGAGGGGCCAGGGAAGGGAGCGCACGGTAAACATCTCTAATCTAACGAGTGGTCCAGAGAAGGGAGACGGGTTCTTCTGTTCTTCTCGTCTCAGAGCACAAGAACAAGGGGACGTTCCATGAGATTAAAAAGTGGAAAAGTCCAAACTGATGACAAGCGATCCTTTCCCACATAATGTGTGAATAGCCTGTGGAACTCACTGCCACAAGATGCTACTGAGGCCAAGAGTTTAGCAAGCTTGTGAAGGGATTGGATGTTTCTGGCGCTAGAGCAGTTAATGATGATAAACATTCTGGCAGGGTGATTAAACCACCTCCGTCAGGGCTTAAACCGCTCTCCAGTCGCAACCAGGGTGAGACCTAATGAAGTGGGGGTGGGGCAGATTATATCACATCTGCTAGTGCAGGGTTTCTGCACCTTCCTCTAAGGCATCTGGCGCTGGCACCATCACAGACAGGAGACTGGCCTAGACAGACCCTGGGTTTGACCCAGTCCTGCAATTCCTCTGTTGCTAACCGCCTCTCATCTCTGGCCTCTCTGACACATGCATCCCCCCACTGCACCGCTCCCCTGGCTCACACACCGAGCACAACCCCCCACTACAGTCACTGCACCGCTCCCCCGGCTCACACACCGAGCACATCCCCCCACTGCACCCACTGCACTGCTCCCCCGGCTCACACACCGAGCACATCCCCCCACTACAGTCACTGCACCGCTCCCCCGGCTCACACACGAGCACATCCCCCCACTGCACCCATGTGACGTTATTGATATAATCTGGGACCATATAGATCATTGTTGCAACCAAGGTCCTGTAGTGGCACCCAGATCTTGTGTAAAGGGGGTCAAATGGGGTGTCTAAGACAAGGTTATGGTTTACTAGTTATGATTATGCTGTCTATATGTGTGTATCAATTTTGTAGTTGAAGTTAGGAATATTGGCTCTATACTGTCTGTATTTCAAACTTATGCTATGGTGCTGGGTGACATCCCAGACAAATTGGTGTTAGCTCTGCCTAGCCTGCTTGATGGCCCATTAAGGACCATCAGCTATACAATGGACCCATTGAGAGAAGGCAGATACGCCTTGTAACTCAGCAAGGTATGCAGGAACTGGCCCATGTGACTCCAGACTCCATTTTGCTGTAATTTTCCACAGTAAGGACAAAGAGGTGTTCTTACACCTGGAAAAGACTATATAAGGCTGATGCCTCATCTCCATCTGGTCTTCAATCCTGCTTCATACCTCTGGAGGAACTTTGCTACAAGCCGAAGCTTTGAACAAAGGACTGAGGACCCATCCCAGCGGGGGATGTATTTCAGAGACTCGATTTGAACCTGCAGTTTATTCTATCGCTGCTGCAAGCCTGAACCAAGAACTTTGCCATTACTGTATGTAATTGATTCCATTTAACCAATTCCAACTCTCATCTCTATCTTTTTCCTTTTATGAATAAACCTTTAGATTTTAGATTCTAAAGGATTG